AAAATTATTATAGAATAAATAGGTTATTGAAAGTCGTAATGAAATATGAATTTTTTCCTTGAGAAAATATGATATTGGCCTCGGAAAATAACATATTGACACTCAGGCTATCGCCCTTGGTCAATTTGATATTTTCCTTGGCCAATATCCAAATCAAAATCAATCTAATATCAACGATGCATTTGATCTTGAAAATAGACAAATCACAGATGGTCTCGATATAGCTAAGAAGATAAACAATAATCTAGATCCAATGGTAAATTTAAAGAAAACTAATACAAATAATAACTCAATATTTCTAACACCTATTACTGAAACTGATGTCAAAATCTTTAAAAGACTCTGCTGCATCTATAGATGATATAGAACCCAGAGAAGTGAAAACACTGAACAAATCTTTGTCAACTTCTCTTACTCAGATTTTCAATTTATCAATAACTACTGGTACATTTCCTGATGCATTAAAAATAGCTAGAGTAATTCCAATTTATAAGAAAGGCCTTACAGATAAATTCAATAACTATAGACCAATTTCAATTCCCAGTGTATTTTTTTATTATTAAGTGCTTGAAAAAATTGTTCATGTAAAAGTGACAACATTTTTAGAAAAATATGAAATTTTATATTTACAACAATTTGGTTTCAGGAAGAAGCACTCAACTTATATGGCACTTCTAAATTTCATTGAAAATATTCGCAGGTCATTAGATAGCGGGGAAACTAGCATTGGGATATTCATTGCTTTGACTAAGGCTTTTGATACAGTGTATCACAAAATATTATTACAAAAACTTGAATTTTATGGTATTCGTGGAACAGCTCTTTCCTGGTTCAAAAGTTATCTCGAAAATCGAATTATGGTCACATAAATTGTTAAGAAAATGTCTTGATTGATCAATTTACAACTACAGATATTAAATATAGATCCGGTAAAAATAAAGTTGAATATGGTGTCCCTCAAGGTTCCGTCATAGATCCCCTCTTGTTTAAAATATTTATAAATGACATACATTTAATATCAATATAAATTATGGAACTCTAGTCTCAGATATGAATGCTGAATTAAAAACTGTTTCTAACTTGATGAAATCTAATAAATTAACTCTTAATGTAGAACAAACAATATATATGATATTTAATAAAAAGAAGGTTCCTAATAAAAACAATATTGTTCTCAAAATTGATGAACAACCTATAGAAGAAGTTAAAGAAATCAATTTTCTAGGTGTCATTATTGATTCAAAGCTGAATTGTCATCTCACATAAATGCTATCTGTACAAAAATGTCTAACTTGATAGGACTTCTCTACAAGACTAGGCATAGACTGACTTTAACTACAATGACCACTATCTATTACTCCATGATTTATTCCTACTTAAGCTATTGTAACATTTTATGGGGAAATGCTATAAAAACTCTTATTCAAAATTTGTTCTGCAAAATAAATTTTTGAGAGTTATCACCTATTCTGATCGTCTAGCTCCTTCAGGACCTCTCTTTTCAAAACTGAAAATATTGAATATATTTGACATCAATAGACTACAAACCGCTAGCTTTGTTCAGAAAACTGTTTCAGAATCACCAGAATTTCCTTTTCAAAGGTTCAAACATTTATTTGTTCCAGGAACAGCAATTCATAATCATGGCACGAGAATTAATAAGAATTTAACTGTTAAAAAATTTAGAACAGAAATTGGAAGAAAATCAATTGAAACAAGTGGCCCATTACTTTACAATACTCTTTCACTTGATCTCAAAAAGTCTAAACACATCAAATCATTTGAACGAAAGTTAAAGTTTGATTTGCTAAGTCATTATTAGATCTTCTTTGAAAAATGCTTTCTTCTCATTACTTGTATTTTATTATGATGCATTTTATGCTTTGTCATTTTTTCCATATAACCTGACTGTTAATTTAATAAATGATATATTGTATGTTAAACATGGAACTTATACACCCCTCGGGGTGTCTTTTCATGTCAACTACTGTATTTGAAACATTTGAAATGAAGTGAATTGAATTGAAAAAATAGAAAAAATATCATATTTTCCCTCGGAATAAAATTCATACTCCATCCCTCCAATTAAATAACCTCTATATATTTCAAAAGCATAGCATATTTCCTTTATCAATTGGGAAATTATTACCCAGCAAACATTGAACAAGCAGATAAAAATGACAATTTTGAGAAAATCACTTTGCAGAATTAAAAAAACGGAAAAATCGAAACCATCGAATACCACATTTGAAACCATCTTATATTACTTTTTATGAAGTGATATTTGATATTGGTACTTGCACTCATTAATTTTATACATATTACATTATACGTATTTGATTTCAATGCCAATGACCTTCGATTAGATTATTTCTTATACCGGATGGGTCAAGGGAATTGATTATACTGTATCATATACAGTGTGAGCCAAAATAGTTTATTATAGCGCGTATAGGTTGTTTTACGTTAGGTGCTTTAAGTTAATGATTACGATCGAATATTTTGTGAAAAATGTTCATGAACAAATGAAAGACATTTTGTATCATGATGCCTGTGAGCCTCTTCGAAGCTGTAGTGGTACTTTTAATTGGTACGTGTTCTGCCTATGCCTTCATTTTTGTAATTGTGAACTATTTTCTCACCATCTTCCGGCATGTTTATTATATTAGTGGAACTTGGCATATGCCTCAATAGTTTCTTTAAGTCAAGCGTTCTGATGTGTGGTTTACTTGCAGTTCCAACCGTAATGGAACTAGGCATATGCATCAATAGTTTCTTTAAGTCAAGCGTTCTGATGTGTGGTTTACTTGCTGGTCCAACTGTAATGGAACTAGGCATATGTATCAATAGTTCCTTTAAGTCAAGCGTTCTGATGTGTGGTTTACTTGCTGGTCCAACTGTAATGGAACTTGGCATATGCCTCAATAGTTTCTTTAAGTCAAGCGTTCTGATGTGTGGTTTACTTGCAGTTCCAACCGTAATGGAACTAGGCATATGCATCAATAGTTTCTTTAAGTCAAGCGTTCTGATGTGTGGTTTACTTGCTGGTCCAACCGTAATGGAACTAGGCATATGCATCAATAGTTTCTTTAAGTCAAGCGTTCTGATGTGTGGTTTACTTGCAGTTCCAACCGTAATGGAACTAGGCATATGCATCAATAGTTTCTTTAAGTCAAGCGTTCTGATGTATGGTTTACTTGCAGTTCCAACCGTAATGGAACTAGGCATATGCCTCAATAGTTTCTTTACGTCAAGCGTTCTGATGTGTGGTTTACTTGCTGGTCCAACCGTAATGGAACTCGGTATATGCATCAATAGTTTCTTTAAGTCAAGCGTTCTGATGTGTGGTTTACTTGCAGTTCCAACCGTGATGGAACTAGGCATATGCATCAATAGTTTCTTTAAGTCAAGCGTTCTGATGTGTGGTTTACTTGCTGGTCCAACCGTAATGGAACTCGGTATATGCATCAATAGTTTCTTTAAGTCAAGCGTTCTGATGTGTGGTTTACTTGCTGGTCCAACCGTAATGGAACTTGGCATATGCATCAATAGTTTCTATAAGTCAAGCGTTCTGATGTGTGGTTAACTTGCAGTTCCAACCGTAATGGAACTAGGCATATGTATCGATAGTTTCTTTAAGTCAAGCGTTCTGATGTGTTGTTTACTTGCAGTTCCAACCGTAATGGAACTAGGCATATGCATCAATAGTTTCTTTACGTCAAGCGTTCTGATGTGTGGTTTACTTGCTGGTCCAACCGTAATGGAACTAGGCATATGCCTCAATAGTTTCTTTACGTCAAGTGTTCTGATGTGTGGTTTACTTGCAGTTCCAACCGTAATGGAACTAGTAGGCATATGCCTCAATAGTTTCTTTAAGTCAAGCGTTCTGATGTGTGGTTTACTTGCTGGTCCAACCGTAATGGAACTTGGCATATGCATCAATAGTTTCTATAAGTCAAGCGTTCTGATGTGTGGTTTACTTGCAGTTCCAACCGTAATGGAACTAGGCATATGTATCGATAGTTTCTTTAAGTCAAGCGTTCTGATGTGTGGTTTACTTGCAGTTCCAACCGTAATGGAACTAGGCATATGCATCAATAGTTTCTTTAAGTCAAGCGTTCTGATGTGTGGTTTACTTGCTGGTCCAACCGTAATGGAACTAGGCATATGCCTCAATAGTTTCTTTACGTCAAGCGTTCTGATGTGTGGTTTACTTGCAGTTCCAACCGTAATGGAACTAGGCATATGCATCAATAGTTTCTTTAAGTCAAGCGTTCTGATGTGTGGTTTACTTGCAGTTCCAACCGTAATGGAACTAGGCATATGCATCAATAGTTTCTTTACGTCAAGCGTTCTGATGTGTGGTTTACTTGCTGGTCCAACTGTAATGGAACTAGGCATATGCCTCAATAGTTTCTTTACGTCAAGCGTTCTGATGTGTGGTTTACTTGCTGGTCCAACTGTAATGGAACTAGGCATATGCATCAATAGATTCTTTAAGTCAAGCGTTCTAATGTGTGGTTTACTTGCAGTTCCAACCGTAATGGAACTAGGCATATGCATCAATAGTTTCTTTACGTCAAGCGTTCTGATGTGTGGTTTACTTGCTGGTCCAACTGTAATGGAACTAGGCATATGCATCAATAGTTTCTATAAGTCAAGCGTTCTGATGTGTGGTTTACTTGCTGGTCCAACCGTAATGGAACTAGGCATATGCCACAATAGTTTCTTTACGTCAAGCGTTCTGATGTGTGTTTTACTTGTAGTTCCAACCGTAATGGAACTCGGCATATGCATCAATAGTTTCTATAAGTCAAGTGTTCCGATGTGTGGTATACTTGTAGTTCCAACCGTAATGGAACTCGGCATATGCATCAATAGTTTCTATAAGTCAAGCGTTCTGATATGTGGTTTACTTGCTGGTCCAACCGTAGTGGAACGAGGCATATGCATCAATAGTTTCTATAAGTCAAAAGTTCTGAAGTATGTTTTGCTTACAGGTCCAACCGTAGTGGAACTAGGCATATACATCAATAGTTTCTATGCAATCAGCGAACAAACAATGGTAAGTGAAAATTAAAAAATGAAAGTCCACTAATGGATGTTTATTTCACATAATATAATAAAATGGCGGGACTTTTTAAAATCTACGTTTAGTGCAAATAGTCGCTTTTCGTCTTTGATGATTGTTGTAATATTGTTTGGATCGATCTTTGATATTTTTGAAAGAATATTTTTCATTACTATCTCATTTATTCATTACTGATATCATAAATTTTGGACAACATGAATATCATTGATGTCATTTTTATATGATGGATCATCTCAAAATTTCAACTCTATATCTACGGCATTGATGATTTTCAGCATTACTCACTTCAAATTTATTGATGCAATCAATCATTTAGGATTACTTCATTAATATACATTGACGACATTAATCATTTCAGGATTCTTCAATTCATATATATTGACGACATTGATCATTTCAGCATTACGCAATTCATATATATTGACGATAATAATCATTCTAGAACTACTCAATTGACATATATCGACGACATTAATAATTTCAGGATTTCTTCATTCATTGCCCAAAACACTATGGGAGGCAAAGGGTTAATATACATTGACGACATTAATCATTTAGGATTACTCAGATCATATATATTTACGACATTAATCATTTCAGGATAACTCAGTTCATATATTTACGACATTAATCATTTCAGGATTACTCAGTTCATATATTTACGACATTAAGCATTTCAGGATTACTCAATTTATATATTTTGACAAAATTAATAATTTTCAGGATTACTCCATCAATATATATTTACGACAACAATGGACCGACCCAAGACTCGCTGACAAGAAAAACAAAACAAGAGGTATGTTAAAATTAGAAGACGGAATGTGGGAGAAGATCTGGGTACCCGATGTTTTCTTCCGCAATGAGAAACAAGCTCAATACCATTATGTCACAATACCAAACAGATTGCTAAGGTTGTTTCCAGACGGACGAGTGTGGTATGCCTCAAAGTAAGTTTCTATATAGAATCTAGAATATATAATGAAGTGGGGATTTCCATTTATACTGAATTTCTCAGGACGATCCTCTGGACATGATTTCAGCTCACACGCAGATAATTAGCATACTTTCTTTAAACGTTATAATCATTTTTTCTAAATGCGTATAGATAGACATGATAAGAGATGATACTTGACTTTATGTTTCATAACTCCAAATCTTGCACTTTTCAGAGATGTAACATCCAGTTTCTTACAGAGTTACCGAGTTCATTTCCCAAATACAAGAATTATCTAAATTTGTTTCACCTTATAGACATCTACTCCCCCTCTCCTCCTCCATCCTCTTTTGATTATTTTCGATTGTTCTTTATATAACGTATGAAAAGTCATTTTGTAAAGTCAGCAATGGCATTAATTTTGATATGATAACGTCAATTACAAATATTCATTACTGGTCGTCAAGATCATTTTTGCTTGATTTATAGCAAAAACATTGACTTTTGCACGTTGGTGGCGTTGCGCCTTACCTAATAGATCTAATATCTTTATAGAAGCGCATCGGTTTAGAAAAATCCTAGAAGACCAAACATATTTTACCATACCGTGCACCTATTCATCCAGCAATTCAATGGTAAACGTTTTCTTTAAGAAACAAATCTTCCAGATTTGTTGAATGTTCTTGCAGATATTGCCTGCCCCCTCCCCCACTCCGCCCAATTTTTCCGATCATCGGGCACGTGTTAGTGTGATTATAAACCATAAAATTCTTCTTTTCTGTTACATCACACAAGTACGAGTGTTTACCGTTATAGGTATAGAAACGACAATATTCAACCGCCTTCGATCGCTTTAACTTGAACTTATCAGATTTCAAGCATCGATGTTACGCAGTACATTAAGATACATGATTGTGTATGCTTGTAACCGGGTAACTTGAATCCCTAGCTCGAATACTGCCAAAGCTTGTTTGATATGTTTGTTTATGTTATCTTGTGTTATGTTGTTATGTTTTCAGTATTTCATCTTTGATGTTTCAGAATTACAGCCACGCTTACATGCCCAATGGATCTTGCAAAATATCCACTAGATGAGCAGAAATGCCCCATGATGTTTGAAAGTTGTAAGTATAAAACACAAAATAAACTGAACATTGATAAGTCACAATACGCATATTCATAGAAATTGATATTGGATTCAGGCGATGGCGTAAAATTTCAAACGTTTGATTTACTTATGTAATAAGTTTAGAAATGCCACAATGACGATACTCCCGAAGCAACAATATGCGAACGACTTACAAACATGCTTGGTGCATCTTTTGCTTGGTTCATATATTCTTGGTACATGTACATATCTGCTTGGTGTACTATTCTTGTTGCATCCACGCTTGAGCTATTCTGCGCATCTTGGCTTTAATCACGGGATGTGTGCTTTGTCTACCGTGACAGAGTGTTAAATATACAAGTCACCCACGAACGTCTCACCATGCGAGAAATTGATTTAGATACGATCTGATGCGGTATGCTTCTGTCTTGCTCATCCATGTATGCATGTTCTGATATCTAGTTATCATTTAGATGTTTTTTGTGTTTTCACTTGTAAACTGTTTGGACTGTTTCGAATACCATGTCGTTATAGAGCTTTTATTTACATGCATTTTTATATAGAATTACGTTGTGCTTTTACAATTTCTTAGAGCTTCTCACATTTATTGAAAGTTCATTTGTTTTATTTCATTATCTTAGATATCAAAAGCATAAACCTAATTTGGAATAGTTAAAGTATACTTAAATATGATGATTTGTTTCCGCATCAATTGAATGTATGTACATAATATTTCAACGTGGTATGAAGACATGCTGTGCTGTGCTGTAGATGTATGTTTGCAATTCAGTTCACCGAAATCCACATATACACAATCAGAACCGGACGTTTTCATTGCAGTAGCACTTCAAAGCCTGTGAGCAATCTTGATGTCTTTCCATAATTACAACACTGGGAATATATAAAAATTTGAGGAATATTTTTAAATAGCCAAACATAAATAATCATTGATAATTGATACAAAGGGGTCCCCCGGCTGCCACACAGAGGAGAGAGTATTTTTGTTTCAAATTGTATCATTACCTACTGTTCCGTTGGTCTGGCAATGGCTTAACCTCCGGTACTAATCCGCTTGGTCGCTAGGTAATCACACAATAGAGTCATATTTATGTCATCTCATTACTTGTGCATTTGGTTCTGAACTTGCTACATGATTATTGGTGCATCTAGTGCTGTACGTTTGACCGCATTATAGGTGCACTTCTGGTGCTGTATTGTAACCCAATTATTGGTCCATTCCTGGTGCTGTATTTGTGATCCCATTATTGGTGCATATCGTGCTATATTTGTAACCCTATTATTGATTCATTCCTGATGCTGTATATGTGACCTCATTTTTGGTTATCTGGTGCTGTCCTTGTAACCCCGTCATTGATGCATATGGTGCTGTATTTGTAACCCCACTATTGGTTCATTATTGGTGCTGTATTTGTGATCCCATTATTGGTGCATATAGTGCTATATTTGTAACCCCGATATTGGTGTATAAGCTGTTGTATTTGTAACCTCATTATTTGTTCATTTCTGATGCTGTATATGTGACCTCATTATTGGTGCATCTGGTACTGCACTTGTTACCCCATTATTGATGCACATAATGCTATATTTGTAAAACAATTATTGGTGCATATGGTGCTATATTTGTAACCCAATTATTGGTGCAAATGGTGCTATATTTGTAACCCCATTATTGGTGCATATGGTGCTGTATTTGTAACCCCATTCTTGTTTCATTTCTGATGCTGTATATGTGACCTCAATTTTTGGTGCATCTGGTACTGTACTTGTAACCCTATTATCGGTGCATATGATGCTATATTTGTAATCCCATTATTGGTTAATTACTGGTGCTGTATTTCTAACCTCATTTTCGGTGCTGCTGGTACTGTACTTGTAACTCCATTATTGGTGCATATGGTGCTGTATTTGTAACCCCGTCATTGGTGCATATGGTGCTGTATTTTTAACCCCATTATTGGTGCATATGATGCAATTATTATTGATTTATTCCTGGTGCTGTATTTGTGATCCCATTATTGGTTTGGTTCCTGGTACTGTACTTGTAACTCCATTATTGGTTTATTTCTGGTGCTGTATATGTGACCTCATTTTTGGTGCATACGGTGCTATATTTGTAACCCCATTATTGGTGCATATGGTGCTATATTTGAAACCCCATTATGGATGCATACGGTTCAGTAAATGTAACCCCATTATTGGTTCCTCTGGTGCTATACTTGTTTCTGCAAAGGTACATCTCTTGTGTTGTACTTATAAGCTGTACTTATTTTTGCATTTATTATTTTATTTATCGATTCGGAAACAAAATATCTGGTTGTTTGTTTGATATATAGATAGACAGAAGACAACACTGACACATCAATCAGCAGATTTGATGAATGTATTGTTTTGAGACATGGACACAGTTCAACTATTTTTATACTACTGATACACATTCATTCCATCCGACACAAACTTCTATCATTAATTTATGTACTTTATTGTATATGCTAATGAATCAATACCATTACTATGATTTAATGGCAATAATTTACGTTACCAACGCTCATGACTATATCAAATTTATAGAGCTTTGTATTAATACATGCAATACATTTATAAGTAGAGTCCCGAAGTAATATCGTTAAATGTCAACCCATTGTATCCTTTTTGCATCAAATTCTTTATCTACTAAGTCTACTTTTTCAAATTGTTTTGTTGTTCCTTGATCGTGGTGGTTGTTCCTGAATGGTGCGCGAGCAAACATTATACAGTTAATTAAGTAACTAATTATACACTGATGCAATGTACAAATAACACAATGGTTAGGGATATTGGGGTCTGTTTTCCTCTTGACCGCTTTTCTTTACGCGTTTGGCCTTACCTTTTTTTGATACATTTACTTGTGCTTGCCCATGTCCACACGGTCCAATCGTTTTCCTAACCAAAATGATTTTACAACAGGTCCAAAATTGATGGATTTTGTAGTCTGTTTAAACATCCGACTGTAAAGCCTGGTAACCTCTAAACCTATGTAGGCTAATGTAGAAATGGTCAAGTCACAACAGATTATATGATTTTCGTGATTTCTGAATAATTGGTGGAGGTGTTGTTTGGGGGCAATTAGGGTTCGTCTATTTTAAACAATTGTACGTACACATGAATACTCATTTTCTAACTGCTTTTATCATGTTTGCCGTTAATCAATTTTGCAATTGTAAGTACAGATTTATGTTTTTCATTACTTTGATCAAGGCTATTACGTTTCTAATTTACAAAAACAGTTGAACAACATATAAGTTAAACAATTAAATTTGCCTTTTGAAATCGGTGTACATGTGAATATCATGATACTTTTTTTAATTTTTTTATCAGTTTTTGTAATGAAGTAAATATTTCATTTTGTAAAATAATTCCAACATATTTCGAAGATTTTTTGTTTTTATTCATTTATTTACTTATTTCGATTTTGATTTTTGTTCCACATTTCTTTTCGGAATGGACGTCTACATATGACGCTTTGTATTATTTGGGTGTCAACATGGGATAATGATCTCTATCATTTCAAGTTTTAAGTTCTTATTAACCATAACTTTTCAATGTAGTCATTAGACAGAGTGCATTACTCGTTGGAAATATATTATTTTTGCGTTGGTTCTGTGAAGTTTCTGGTCCTGCTTCCACAAAAATCATAGAATTGGTAACGTGCTCTATTAGGACCAAAAACCCCGAATATGTCACTTACCGTCTTGTTCTCATTTATAAGGCTCTATGGAAGGGGTGAAGACTCACTGTGTGATTAATTGTTGACAAATGACAACTGTGGACAAGTATGATTTCGCAATTGTGGACAAAGTGTAATTGCACAATTGTGGACAAAGTGTAATTGCACAATTGTGGACAAATGACAACTGTGGACAAAAGTGATTTCACAATTGTGGGCAAAGTGTAATTGTACAATTGTGGACAAATGACAGTTGTGGACAAATATGATTTCACAATTGTGGACAAAGTGTAATTGTACAATTGTTGACAAATGACAGCTGTGGACAAATATGTTTTGAGTTATATTAGGCCAGCATGGGGAAGGAAAATTTGGGCAGCACTTCCCCTAGTATGAGTGGAAATCAGATTGGGGAGGGGAAAATATTCTAAGTCCAAACTTAAGAAAAATTTGGGCAGCACTCCTTCTTGTATGAGTGAAAATCAGATTTGGGAGGGACAGATATTATAATTGCTATATCAGGTCATACATCACTTGTTAAAAGGAACTGTGTCTTCAAGGTAAGGCTGTGTCTTCCATTTAGGGGGTTGGGAATTGTAAAGTGGACAAATTACAACTGTGTACAAACCCAAATGTGGACAGAAGCAATTGTGGACAGAAGCAATTGTGGACAAAGTAGAATAGTTCAGGTAAATGGTTGGTTATGACACACTCTGATCATCAATGATCCAACAGAAAAAGATATAAACTGCTAAAATAACTTACTATCTTTATTCGTAAATGACTAAATTATATTCCGTCTACATGAATAGAAAGACAATCCAAAGATGGGATCAGAATCAGCAAAATTATTACGGCTAAATAATATTGTAAACAGCCAGTGAAATCACCAAAATTATACACTAATATATCTCACCCAGTTTTCAAAGAGCTTTGTCGTCATCCCGGGCATGTTGGCCTTCTTTAGAAACACATCTTTGACTTCAAAACGATTCTCTAGGCTTCAAAACGATTCTTGATTACGAAAACAGCTGATTTCCCAAACTATCAATGGCTGTCCACAATGTCAGAGTGTACAAGTTAATCTCGAAACTCAAACAAAACGTTTTTATACATCAAAGTCTAAACATATAACAATATGTTTGCAACATCAAAATACATGATTGATAACATCATAAGAACATGTTACGTTCCAGTTAAGTTTTAAAAGTGCTCTTTATATGACAGAAAATCAAAAATATAAATGAGATAATTTCCTAGTCACATGACCATCCAAAATGGCGGCCTCCATG